ATCTTTTCTTGCATTGTATTTTTTTAAATTTAGTTTAATGAAAGTTTACAGAAACTTAGGTTTCCAGTCATTCATTGTCATTCTTTTAACCCTCCCCCCAATTAACTCTTCTCCTTGAAAATAAAGAAAAACTCTTTCATTGTTATGCAACCCTTCCTCCCCCGAAGTCCCCTCCACTATGCAGCCTTCACTCTGGACTTCTGTAATGAAAAGAAGACCCATTCATATATCCCTTTTAAACAGTTCTCTCCTTCACCTGTTTAAATGCAATATACATCACTCCTCCCCTTCTTTTCTGTCTTCCCTCAACCCTGATGTCAGTCCCATTTTACAACAGTGGCCTTATGCACTGTTGGTGGGAGTGTAAAAGGGTGCAACCACTATGGAAGGCTGTATGGCGCTTTCTCAAAACGTTGCAAATAGAGATACCATTTGACCCAGCATTTCCATTACTGGGAATTTACCCTAAAGAAATACTAACTGCCACCCAAGCAGATATATGCACACCCATGTTTATTGCGGCTTTGTTCACAATAGCAAAGATCTGGAAACAACCCAAGTGCCCATCAACAACGAATGGATAGAGAAGCTCTGGTATAATCACACAATGAAATACTATGCTGCACTGAAAAGCAAGGAACTCATGCAATTATTTTCAAAATGGGTGACCTTGGAGAACATTATGCTGAGTGAAATATCTTATCACAAAAGGACAAATACTGCTTAGTGCCACTGTTGTAGAACAGGACTGACATCCGCATTGGGATGAGACTGAGAAAAACGGGATAAATTATGTATATTGCATTGAAACAGATGAGGGAGAGAACTGTTTAAAAGCTATATATGATTGGGTATTATGGCTATGAAAAGAGTCCAGAATGAAGGTTGCATAGTGGAGTGCACTTGGGGTGGGGGGTGGGGATTGTACACCAATGAAATAATTTTTCTTTTATTTTTCAAAGAAAACTGGGGGCAGAGGGGTGGGCCAAGAGAAAAATGCAACAATGAATGAATGGAAATCTAAAATCTCTGTAAACGTTCATTAAAATTAATAAAAAAAATTTTATAAAAAGGAAAGAGAAAAAAAAAGATAGAAACAAGGTAGGTGTTATCTCACTCCCTGATGTCAAATCCTACTACACTGCCATGGTGGTCAAAACAGTGTGGTACTGGTACAATGACAGACACACAGATCAATGGAGTAGAATTGAGAATCCAGAAATCAGCCCATCTACCTATGGTCAGCTGATTTTTGACAAGGAGATGAAATCAGTTAAGTGGGGAAACGACAGCCTTTTTAACAAATGGTGCTGGCAAAATTGGAAAAATATCTGCAGAAAACTCAAGTAAGATCCATACCTCACTCCATACACAAAAACCAATTCAAAGTGGATTATGAACCTAGGACTAAAACCAAGGACAATAAATTTCATTAAAGAAAAGCTTGGAAGAACTCCAGAAGTCCTAATCCACAATGTAAACAGTCTTCCGAGCATCCTGGAAAATCTACAAACAGGAGAGGATAAATATAGATGAATAGGACCTTGTAAGAATCAAATCTCTATGCACATCCAAAAACTTCTCCACCAGGGTAAAAAGGGAAGCCACAGACTGGTAAAAAATATTTGTCAATGACATGTCAGATAAGGGACTTATATCTAGAATTTATAAAATACTCGAGGACCACAACAAGATAAATAACCCATTTCAACCTTTTAAACAAATCAACCAACTCATTTTATAAAAAATGCTGAGCAAGTTTCAGGCAAGCTTTCAAAATGAGAGATACTAGGAAGAAAGGCCTGGCACTCTACTTTCAAAAATAATTTCATGAAACCCTATGGATCATAAAGATAGAACCCTCAATTTCTCATGGGGATAACACAGACCAGACATGCTTTTTCTTCTGCTATAAAGAAACCACCATAGGTTGTGGGAGCTTGATGGTAGTTAAAAACAACAACAACAACAACAAAAAGATTAGTTAGATGCTGCTATAAGCAGATTATCAGCAACTGTTCAAATTGTCATGTGCTGACTTTCACTTGTCCCAGTTTCACAATTTATATTTTAAAAATCCTTCAAACTCATTGCCATTGATAGTTGACCCTCCAGCAGATTTTCAGGAGGCTATTCAGAGCCATCGATGGGCTCCAACTACTTGACAGGAGCTGTCTTTGGGACAGCAGAAAAATTCGCTGTCAAATATGTTACCAGGGCTCCCTACAGGCAGCATGAAGCAGTTATAATCTGTATGCAGAAAGGGGGTGTGAATAAATGTGAAAAAGTAAATATTTAAAAAATGGCAAAAGATAATTAGAATTGAAAAAAATTAGAAATTTTAGATCCAAATGGGGCTTATTACCCCTCTAAACTTTTGTCCAGCCTGTTTTGATACAGAGACTCTCAACTAAATATGAAGTGTGCATGAATTAAAAATTTCCTTAAAACTCAAAGAGTCATTAATGATAGAAGGACACCTTTATCCATATTCTTAACTAATTTGTATTTGTAATATTTAAACTGGGGTGGCCTTTTTGGTGCCCAGAAGCATTCTCACTTTCTGTCAATTTTTACATGAAGTTAAATATATACAAAAAACCCCTTCTATATTCTTCATTTATCTTTTAGCTTGTTAGTGCTCAGTGCCAAAGAGCCAGCTGACTGTTATTACCATCACTTGTTTATCAGTTTGTCTTATTGTGATGGGTTTTGTGTTGTTGTGATGCTGGAAGCAAAATAACCATTATTCCAAATATCAGCAGGAAGATTCAAGAAAGAAAAATTTTAGCAGCGGTTCCAGACTAAGAAAAATGACCTTGTAATCTTCTGACAAAATTACCAAGTTACCCAGTGAAGCTGTCATGGTTAGCAGCAGAATATTTTTTATGAGGACTGGATGGTCTTCTCTTTGTTGATACAGGATCACTATGAGCAGTTGCTTTAGGATTTTACAGTGTGTATTTTCAATTTGTCACACTCCTCCTCCTGAATGTGAGGAATAGTACATTTCATATGTAATATAAACCTTATTACAGTATACTTTTTTTCCCCTCCTGGTCTTTTTATTTCTGTGTAAAGTTTATTTCTACGTATGTTCTAAATCTCACATATTTTGCTTTAAACACTTATCGTTCCCAGTAGTGACAATTTCAGCAAACTCCTTCTTTCCATTCACTTGCTAGGAAGTTATTGAAAATATGACTAAGTAAGATTATAAAATTTCAAGTTCTCGTCTATGCTCTTTGCTGTGTCATTTTCAGTTCCTCAGATGCACCTTTTGCTGCCTGTTCCCTGGGTGTTGGTTGAGAATTTGTTATATTTTAAAGACAGGTTATAATTGTTACTGAATTTTATTTTTAATAAAAGCAGATAAAAGTCCAAGAGAGTACCTAAAAAGGGAGTTTGGAAGAACTTAGTAATAACAAACAGATCTATTGAGACCACAATTGTTATCAGTAAAAACAGATTAACTGGGAGTAAAAATCATACACGAAAAAAGAAAAAAAGCTGTTTGTTCTGGATTTGTTTATTTAAGACAAGATTAGATGGTTGGACAAAGATGTTGTGGTTGGGTTTTTTGAGGATTTTTTTTCCAAGGTCTCTGTTCACTTAGTGAGGCCATATTTTTCAAAGAGAGAAAAAAGTCTCAACGTCTGTTTTAAGTACTACATATTTTCCTTTAGCTAGTAGTTTTAGATGTACAAAATCCTAACATTTAGAATAAGACATTTCAATTTTGTTTACAATAATCAACAGTATAGTTCCTGGAATATTGGAATACATTTTACGGCACCCAAACCCAACATAAAACAGAACTGAGAGCGAACAGACTATATACAATGGGAAATGACCAAAAACTGATTGGTAAGTGCAAAAGGCTCACTGTAATTTAATCGTTAATACAGAAATGAAAACTCCTTTCCTCCAGAAATTTTATCTGCAAAAACCTATCTCAGAAGAAAACGGAAAAGATGATATTCCCGCTTTATCAAGGGCATTTTGCCTATTTCCTCCTTTACCCAGCACCCAAGTTCGGTACTTCTACTTAAGAGTTTACATCGTGTTCTCTGTACATTGGAATTTGAAGATATGTCTGAAATTTAGATTTTCATTAGGCGAAGACACATGATAAGCTTCGTTCAGTGCCCCCACCCCCGGCTTCCCACGCATGTAAAACAATTTCTCAAATCAAACCTAAAGGGTCTGCGACATACTTGATAACTTTTACTAGTTTCTCATTTAACCAGAGCCACAGGTTGCAAAACTTCCTCTCCCCTAATTGGGGCGCGTTATCAAGGGGAGCGCAGGGGAGACATCATGCTTAGGGGAAAGAGAAAGGCTCTTCACCAGGACTGAAGCAGCAGCTACAAGATGGGCTTAATTAAGCACAACACACTGAGATGATTTTGAGGACGACACGGGGTCGTGATGCTGAGAGTTGGGGCCGACTTCCCAGCACCTAACAGGTTCCCTTGACAGCCAGGCCGAAGGGGGAGCGGACTAGGGGGGAGCGGACATCTCTTCGTATGCAGCGGGCCGCCCAACCGCTGCCCAGACACCTGTTGGTAGCTAAGTGAGCGGACTTCTTCCCGGCGGAGGAGACTGCGCGGTCTCTGGGAACGCACACTTACGGCCCGGGCTTGGAGGAGAGGGGGTCCGCCTCCGGGCTTGGAGGAGAGGGGGTCCGCCTCTCGTCTCCTCTGCCGGCCGGGCAGGGAGGGCCTCGTAGCCCACGCCTGCGCCATTGGAGTTCGACCCCTCCTCCCGGCCCTGCGCGGGGGCGGTTTACGGCCCCGGGGTGGGGGTGGGGGGGGGGTCTACGCGGGCACGCAGCTCGCGTGTCTCTCCCGCCCCCAGTTTCGGTTGGGGCTCCTTTAGGACAGCCAAACGCATCTGGCTCGCGAGGGAGTCGGTTGCTTGCGCTCTGGTGGGTCAGCTCCGGGAAGTGGCGCGCGCTTCTTCTCTGTTTCTAGTCCACTTCGACGCCAGCCACGACCATGACCCCTAAGCCTGGCCAGGGCCAGTCGGCACCCCTGTCGCAGCAGCACTGCCTCAGCTGCGACTATGGAGAGCCGGTCCTCGTGCGCATAGCCAAGGGCGACGAGGCTTTCAGCTTGGGCGAGTAGGATTTGGCGTCCGAAATCTACAGCCTTGTGTTGCCGCAGATCAAGCGGCCCGACCGAGATCTGTGCCTGCGGATGGGGAACGCACTGGCCCGCGACACCCGCGTCTTCGAGGCCATGGGTGCGTACCGCGCGGCCGAGCTGCACAGGGCGCTGGAGCTCGTGGAACTGGAGCACCTGGCCCTGGGCCTCGTGTGCTTCATCCGCGAGTTCGAGTGGGACTTGCCCACTCGGTGGCCCAACCAAGACCCCGAAGTGACGACCCAAGGCAAGCCGCCCACGTGCACCATGACCTGGGAGGCCGCCTCGCTCCGAGAGCTGCTTAGCTGCCCCCGTTGCCGGGCGCTGCTCCACAAGCCGGTGAGCCTGTTGTTCGGCCTCACGGTCTGCGAGAGCTGCCTGGATCCGGGCGCCAATGCGCAGACCCCGGCCTTACGGGTCAACGTGGTGCTCAGCAAGCTGCTGGCCAGGTGCTTCCCGGCTCTGGACCGCGTGCGCGCCTTGGCCGGCGAGGCGCGCACCCTTCTCAGCCAGCAGCAGCCCGAGCTCGCGCTGCTCCGCTGCCAGGAGGCCTTGGAGCTGGGTGAGTGCTGTCGGGCAGGGAGTCGGGGAGCAGTCTTCTCTGGGGCTTGACCGAGCATGTTTTCCTTTTGCGTGGCGTTTTTAGGGTTCTTGATGCGTGTTCGAGACTCGGGGCTCGTGGCACTTGACTCCAACTTTTCGGGATAGGGAGGCGGCGGAGAGTCGGGGAAGTCCAGCGAGGAGTTGGAGACCCAGACCTGGAGCCCGGCGAGGCCTTGGAGTGCCCAACCCCAGGAGTGGAGGAGCCCAGGGAGGCATTGGAGAGCCCTTCGGGGAGGTGGGGATCCTCGCGGGAAGGGCACCCGGTGGAGAGCCTTGAAGAACGGAGTTGTGGCATCATCCTAAGCGAAGGAGCAGGGATGTCCTCGCTCTTCAGGGAACCTGGTTCAGGATAGAGTTACTGGCGTGGCCAGGCCGCAGCGTCTTTTGGCCACTAAGAGCATCCTGGGCGGTACACCTGGGTGAGCTCCAGTTTTTTCGGGGCTGAGGCCCGCGGACTTACTGGTTGGACGTTGGAAAAGTCGGTTTGTGCTGTGTTCGAACAGGTTCTTGGGGTGGGAGGCGGGGGTATAATCAGTTTTAAAGAAGTCTATGGCGCAGCTTAAAGCAAGATGCCATCCACTTCCTAAACCACTTGTCCCTGGACACTCACTGTATGAACTTTGATAAATGTTGATAGTTCTGGAAAGGCTTTAGGCTTTTTGTTCATAGGGTCGCCCTGAGTCATGCTCAACTCGAAGGCCTTCAACCACAGCAGCCTGAAAACACGGACAGAGCCATGAAATTCAGTGCAGCTGTGGACTGAACACGTGCTGCGGTTCTCAAGTCCTCGGGGTTGGCACAGACCTTCCGTTAGAGGTGGGGGTGGGGGACCCAGGTTGAAAAGGAAGATGATAGTTGAAGATGGTGGTTGGTCAGTTGACATAATCTGCATGGTGCAGTCTGGAGAGGGTTGCACTGCTGACCCACAGGCAGTTAGCTACTCTAGTGGTTCGAATCTACTAGCCGCTCCGTAGAAGAAATCTTTCTTTGAAATAAGTATTACCCATTGGCAGTTGTGGATGGAGTGTGTGTGTGTGTGTGTGTGTGTGTGTGTGTCTGTGTGTCTGTGTGTCTGTGTCTGTATTTTCCGAGTTCACTGGTTTTGTAGTGGCTTGATAAATGGAGAGTGATCTCCTTCAGTTCCTTGTAAAATCCGAGAAAAGCACTGAAGAGTCCAGCTTTGAGTTGTGTTGAACTAGATGGAAATAAGTTTAAGGTTTTCTTTCTTTTACAATGTGGCAAACACTGTCCTCTTCAGCCTCCTGTACCACTCCCTACTACAAAGATATTAAAGGACTATGATTGTTGCCAATCCCTGGATAGTACAAACAGCTCCTAACTACCAAGTTGGGCCTTGGAGTCCACACAGAGGCTCATGAGATCAGGGCCTGGTAATCTATTTTTCTTTAACTCTGCCCTTGAGCACCACTTGGAGTTGCCTTGAATCAGTGTAACTCTCTTGATAGCTGGTTTTAATTTAGAGGAAGAGCTGACTAATTATATATTTGGCTTTAAGTATTACCCATTTGACAGTCCTGGATGGAAAGTAAATGTATGTGTGTTTTTATTTTCTGAGTTCACTGATTTTGTAGTCTACTTGATTCCATAGAGCTCTCAAGAGTCAATTGGTCAGTGACAGGATTCATGAGGTTCACATCTACCAGTTGTTCCTCAGAATTAACCAGCTACTTGCAGGTGAAAAAAGTTAATGCTCTCTCTGCTAACCAAAAGTTGGAGGTTTGACTTTAAAATCTTTGAAAGAAAGATCTGATGACCTGCTTCCCTAAAATCATACATATGACAACACTGAAGCACAGTTCTGTGGTGATGTGCATGAGTCAGACTAGGCCATGGCAGGGATTCTATTGTTGGTTTTTTTTAATTGCTGTTGTGTGTTTGTGTTGATTTGTTTGGTTTTGTGGGTTTTAAAAAAATACATATTATATCAACAAGGAGCTCTGGTGGCTTAGTGGAAAAGCACTGCACTGCCAACTAAAGGCACACGTTCAATTAAAAACCCCAGCTCCTCTATGGTAGAGCGAGATGGGCACTCTCTTCTTGTGCTGTTTACTACCTATGAAAGCCCACTGGAGGAGTAAACAACAGAATACAAACAAGGGTACTCTGGTGGCCTGGTAGTAAGAAGCTGTGCTGCCGACCCAAAGGCAGGTGGTTCGCCTCCACCTGCCGCTTTGTGGGAGAAAAAATGGGCAATTTCCTTCTGTGTTTTACAGCTGCTGGAAACAACCTGGATGATAAGTTATGAATTTTTCAGTGGCACATAACAACAACATAATGTATAAACAAAACAGAAAGTTTGTTGGTGTGTGATGTCTGACTCATAGTACCTAGTACTACAGAGTAAAACTGCTCTGAAAGGTTTCCTTGGCTATGATTTATCTGTAGTACTACTGAATGGTTCAAACCACCAGCTTTTAGGTTTTTAAATGCAAACATTTTACAGAGCCTAGGGATTGGTGTGTGTGAGGGGGAATGTGTGTATACACAAAAATATTTATGTTTGCAAACACAAAGGTTGTGGAACCACCTTGTAGGATTGTGGAGTCCCTCGTAGGGACAGTAAATCCCATGGCTGGATGTTACTCGGATCTCTCTCTGTGCCACTGTGTATTTGAACCACCAGAGAGTGGAGAGGCTTTGGGGTTTGCAGATCAACTGCCGTGTGTTACGTGCCCCGAGTTTCCCTTGTGTGCTTATGTATACACGTATGACTGCCATGTGAATTGATCATACATACCTGGCAGAAACAATCACCACAGTGCAAGGTGTGAGAATAGTTATGGCTGTGGTATTTAAGGTTAGTTTGGACGCTGACACACTGTTTTAGTAGTTAGGTAGTATGTAATCAGCCCCTGTTTCGTGATCTTCATTTTGTGTCAGTTTAGTCCTCCGTTTTGTGATCTAATGAAAGTGCCCTTCAACTTTTCATCAAGACATAACTGCATACTACCTGATATTTAGGAAGCTGTGGGGCCTTCAGTGCTGAGTTACACTGCTGACCCAAAGACATGAGGTTCACATCTACCAGTTGTTCCTCAGAATTAACCAGCTACTTGCAGGAGAAAGATGTGTCTTCACCAATGTAATTTGCAGCCTCTGAAAACCAGTGAGCTATGAGTGAGTTCCAACTGAACAGTGAAAAACCTCCACCACCTGATTTTTGGAATCTAACCAGGTTGAAACTGAGGAGGACATGAAATGCTTGCTGAAGAGGGTCAAGGATTGCAGCCTCCGATCTGGATTGAAGCTCAACTCAATATCAAGAAGACAAAGATTCTCACCTCTGGGCCAATTGGCAGCATCAGGATGGATGGTGAAGAGACTGAGATTGTTCACAGCCTTAGTTTGCTTGGCTCCACAGTCAACACTCTTGGCACCAGCAGCCAGGAGATTAAAAGTGTATTTCCATGGGAAAGTCTGCTGTTAGGGACTGCTCCAAAGTACTGAAGAGCAATGGTGTCACTCTGGAGACTAAGATTTATCAGATACAGGCCATGGTCTTTGCAATCACTTTGTTATGCATCAGAGAGTTGGACAGTGACTAGGGAGGCTAGAAGAAGAATTAATTGATGCCTTTGAGCTGTGGTATTAGAGAAGAGTATTGAGGGGTACCATGGACTGCTAAGAAAACAGATTCATCCTAGAGAGGGTTAAACTGGGCTGCTCCTTGGAGGCAAGGATTCTGAGGCTTTGTCTGACATACTTTGGATATGTTGTAAGGAGGGACCCATCCTTGGAGAGGGACATCATGCTTGGGATGGTAGAGGGACAGCGCAGAGGGGAAGGCCCTCTATGAGGTAGATTAATACCAATGACTGGGGTCGGGATGGGTGTGTCAGAGGCAGTGCGATTGGCACAGGATAGGGCACAGTTTAGGGCTGTTGTACATAGGGTCTCTATGAGACACAAGCGACTCGATGGCACATAATAACAGCCAGGTTGTTAAGAGTGGGGGCTGGAGGTGGCTGTTCTTCCGTGTATATTTCATTTTCTCTCTTAGCAACTCTGTAGTACCGAGTAGAACTACCCCCCAGGTTTCCAAAGCTGTAATATTTATGACAGTATGGAGTGAATGACTTGGTAAATTCAAACTGTCAATTTAGTTCAAAGCCATGTGCTTAACCGCTGTACTGCCAAGTTTAAATTACTTTTGAAAAAACCTCCCTGGTTTATTAATCTTTTGCTATTGAAGGAGTCATCTTGTATATTTTTTAAGGCAATTGTTAGTGTTCACATTTTATTTCAAGTTGAGAATTGAGACTTCTTTTTGTGTATGAGGTACACACTCTAAAAATTAGGGTTGCTTTTGTTATAGCAAAATCATGCTTGAGAATTATAGCAGAAAATAGTATGTATCTAGTGTCTAAATTAGGGAATTCTTCCCTGAAATCAATAAGGCAGTTAAATTGGCTTTATGTAGAAAGTAACTTAAATATTCTGTACCATTTTTGCAAGAAGTCCGTGCTTTAACAGACTTTATATTTTTGAGTATTCAACTATTTTATCTATGTGGAGCAGTACTGTCCAGTGGAAGTGTGATACAGAGAAATCAGAACTATTAAATCCTCTGGTAGGGCTGCAGTTATATCCCTGAAAATTGTTTGGTGGTACCTACCTATAAGCAAATATGAGTTAGCAACTTCTAAGAAGTGTACACAGTGTGTGCACCAAGCGAGAGTACAAGAACATCCATCATGAAATTTGCAACTGACTCTGAGAATGTTAATTACACAGGAGGAGATTGCCCTTCTCTGATGAAACTGCTGGTAGATTTGAACTACCAGAGAGGCTTTGGGTTAGCAGTACAGCTCCCTACAGACTGTACCACCAGGGCTTATCCTGAGAGAGACCTAAATGATGAGTGAAAGTGAAGTAGGTAAATACATTACTGTGATTTTTACGTAAAACTATACAGAAGGGAAAAGAATCATGGTGGTG